TCACTTGATCCACACCAATTTGCATATAGGCGGAATCGGTCGACTGAGGATGCCATTGCCATTGTGCTCCACATGTTACTGGAACATCTTGAGCACAAGAACACCTACGCAAGACTCCTCTTTGTCGACTTTAGCTCTGCCTTTAATACAATCCGGCCGTTTAAACTCCGAGCCAAACTGCACCACCTTGGCTTCGACAACTCGCTGTGCAATTGGATTGTGGACTTTCTGACAGATCGAACACAGAGGGTTAGAGTAGGCAAGCACTTGTCCCCCACCCTATCAATCAACACCGGGGCCCCCCAAGGGTGTGTGCTTAGCCCTCTGCTCTATACTCTTTTCACACATGACTGCTCTGCTTCTCTCTGCTCCAACCTCATTGTTAAATTTGCAGATGATACAACAGTGCTGGGACTCATTAACAACAACAATGAGGCGGATTATCGGACTGAAGTACAACATCTAGCGTCATGGTGTGTCAAGAATAACCTGTCTTTGAACATTAAAAAGACTAAGGAGATCATCGTGGATTACCGCAAATGTAGACCCAATCACTCTCCTCTCTTTATTGCAATGAAGTGGTGGAGAGGGTGCCATTTTTCAAATTTCTGGGAGTAACGGTGACTGAGGACCTGTCCTGGGGAACCAACATCACCTTCGTGATAGGGAAGGCTCAGCAACGCCTTTACTATCTGAGGCAACTGAGGAATGCCAGGATCCCTAAACAGCTTAAGCCAAGTTCACACTACATGATTTTAAGCCCGATTTATGCCCGATTTCCAAATCGTTGAGAGGTCAGGGTGTTTTCGCGTGCAAATCGCGGGAGATTAGCGGACGATGAACGCTTGCCAATCTGTTAGTATGAAAGAGCCAACAACGCAGCGAAAACGCTCGCAGACGCCTCGCAGACGCGTCGCCGAGCCCAGAAAAATATCTAGCCTGCTAGATATCCAGAGCAGTCGCGCGACTCAAACTCAGTGATGTCATGGGTACAGCCAATCATAGCAACGCATGGGTTGAGGACACCAGGTAAATCTTAGTTTTTCTCTCTTTTTTTGCATTTTTTCCCTCAGAGCAGATCGTCGAGCAAACAGTGTGCAGCACTAGTTTCTGTCTGACGTCCATGTCACGTGTTGTGTTCTCTTCTTCGCTGGGTATTGGCGCAATATTTATTTATTTATTGCGTGTTTTTTTTCGTGACAAAACGTGGTTTGTTGACAAGATAGAATCGTTGGGTGACAGAGTTGTTGTCAACTTGTTATTTATTTGATTATTTTCAGGATTTAGACCGTAACATAGTACTGAAACAGCTCTTATTGAGTCACAAATGATTTGCTCTCATCATCCGATCGTGGTTGTATCTCTATGTAGTGCGTTGTTAACTCGTGTAGTGAGTTACCTCCTGTTGTGGATCAATCACGTTGTGTTGTGTGGTGTGAACAGTTAACAACTTGAACACTCCAGATTTCACTGAGAGCAAGTCATGTAGTGTGAACCGCACAGTTCAGCCCGACGTTTTAAAATCATGTAGTGTGAACAAGGCATTATGGTCAACTTCTACAACTGTGCCATCAGCAGTGTTTTGACATATGGATTCTTAGTGTGGTATTCCAGCTGCACTAAGGCCCATCAGCAGGCACTCCAACGAGTGGTAAATATAGCTGGAAAAATCATTGGGACCACTCTCCCGAATATCAGTCTATGATAGCCGTTGTTTGAAGAGAGTGAAGAGAATCCTGCGGGACCGGGATCACCCGGCCCATCACCTGTTCCATCTGCTGCCGTCAGGAAGAAGGTACAGGTCTATTGGTGCCAGAAAATCCAGACTGGCTAACAGCCTGTACCCTTACGCAGTAAGGCTGCTTAATGATGTCCTTCCCTCTATCTCCCTACAACCCCCCACCCACCCCCCTCCTTCCAATGGACAGTAAACAATATCTCAGTATAAAATAACTGTGAACTGGACTTTGCATTGCTGCATTAACCATAACCATATCCATCCTGCTTAACGATGATATTTCCTCACGCTTCCCAACTTTTAAAAACAAAAAGTTGTGTAAGCATTGCGATTCTTTGTATGCATGTTTAAATACAATCTAAACAATGTAAATTAGGGCTATTACTCCATGCATTATTTACAAGTTGCTCAGTCAAATATTTCCTATATTAAAATCGCAAATAATTTAAATTAAAACTTGAAATTGACAAAAGCAGCCGACTTGCCTTTTCTTTTGCATCTTAATTTTAAAACAATCGATCTTGCATGTCACAAAACTTATTTTTCCACCTCCACGATCAAGACGAGTTCATTCTGTCGCCTGGTTGAAGTAAATTGTAGTTTTCCTTGATTAAATGTGCATTTATGGTGAGATTACTTGATTTTATTTAATTAAACGCATTTATGGTGAAATTACTACATTTTCAGGTCAATCTTTATCATTTTGACCACCAGCGTTTGCAGCACAGCAGAAATAGATTCGGTGTGGAAACGATCGCTGTGTTGCTGGTATATGTACCACATCAGTGAAAAGTGAAAGCCCTACCCAGATAGCAAACTGACATTGAATCAACGTGGAAATATGACATCGAAACAACGTTGATCTGACATTGTTTTGCTCATCGAATGGGCTATATGCACGCATAAATTCCGCATTTGACGCAAGGATGCTCGTCCATTTCCGGTTGTGTAGATTTAAGCGGAGGAGAACCGAGGAAAACGGGATTATGGCAGAGTCTTCAAAATTTACTGTCCTCCAGTCTTTGAAATGAAACGTACATACGTTTAGATGTAATTTTATATATAGTTATATTTATTTAATATAATTTAAAATTTTTAATATAAGCATAAACACAACGAGGGGTGTCTGTTTTATCTGTTTTTGTGACTAACGTTTCTTTATTATAACCATGGAGTATAAAATTCAATATAAATTCTCGGTATTGCATTGGACTCTATGATCGGCGGAAGTTATCGAGCATCCTTAATCCTTCACCGGAAATAACGCCGTGCATAGAGCCCATTAACGTTGAACCAACGTCAGACGCGTCATTCTTTCAAAACTAACGGAAAATCAACTTGAAATCAACGCGTTGTTTCAACGTTATGAAACCAATTTTCGATTTTCATTTAGCTTTGAAGAATGCCGCGTCTGACGTTGGTTCAACATTAATTCCTTGAGCAAAATCAACGTTGTTTCAATGTCATGAGAGACGTCATTTCCACGTTGATTCAATGTCAGTTTGCTATCTGGGAAACCTGTTTACATGGTGCGTTAGGAGACTGCTGTGCGGCTCTTCGCTCTGCTTCAAATCGCTAACAGCCATTTGAGCTTCTACTGCTTCCTGATAAACACCAACCTTCGTGCGCAGTGGCTGCACAAAATAGACATTTTGATCGACGCGCAAAAAATAATAAAAATATTAAGTATGAGTTTGTTGTACAGCCGCGGATCAGTTATTCACTGTGCAAACGCATCATAATATGTGAACGCACTAACAGCACAATCCTGCACCGCAACACACACTGCAAACGGGTGTGAAACGGACGTTAGATCCACTACAGTTCTAAGAAACTTAGATGTGTTTAAGAACTCTGTTTTTCGTACAACAGCAGCACTCATCTTGTTTGTTTATTTGTGGATGCGGATGACCAGTCGTAGACCGGAAACTGATACGCCGACTTCTGACAAAAGCGGAAGTTCGAAACTACAGTTGTGCACATAGCCCATAGATGTCAGAGAGAATACGCATTTATTACTTGGTGAAAATAATAAATACCTGTTGTACAATGATGTGCTGGAAATATAAATGACCAAAGAAAGAGTGTGAGAATGTCTTTCAAATCCAACAATAATGTGTGGGTTCAACCATTTGGGGACAGAAAACAGGTATCCCCCATCATTTTTATGCATTTTGTTGTACAAAAGAGCCTTATCAAACGCTGACATTTATTACTGTAGAAAAAGCAAGGTTTAAACAAACTATTAAAAGGATAGTTCACTTTGAAATTAACTTTATTAAATGTTTTAGCTTACCTCAAGGGCATCCAAGATGTAGGTGTCATTTTTTCCATTTCAATTTTGATATTTTTAGGTCAAACCATCCTTGTCTGTCAGTTATATAATGGAGGATTATGAGGTTCACCCTGGGTCCACCTCAAAGAACATGCACTGAGAAGTCCAAATTAAACATGATTTAATGACTCGTAAATGTAAGAACTCAGGCGTTGATCATTTTTTTCCAGTTTACCTTCATTAAAGTTTAGCATGTTTTACATTGCTTGGATTAATGTGAATGAATACTAATTCATATTTTGAGTTTTTAGTACATCATCTTTGTACAATCTAAATAAATTATAAATAAGGCCTAATATCTTTCTTTTTCTTCAGCAAGTTGCATGAAAATAAACTAAATAGAATGCACATCCTCGTATAACAATATCAATAGATTATGTGATTATTATTATTATGTTAATGTATTTTATAGAAGTGAATTTTCACAAAGAAAGTGTGTTCAACTCTCAACTGGTGGGATTTAAACTTTGTCGGCGGAAGTTTGAAGACAAAAAACAAAACCAAGCTCTAAAACTAAGTGTAAATAGGGCCTGTCAGTTTGAAGTAGTCAGGGCCCCATTAAATTAAATCGTTTTTTTGGTTTTTTTTTACAAACCTTGGTTTTTGTATATATCAGTATCATATGCATCAAACTAAAATGGAAAAAAGGCTTGTTTTGAGGAATGGTTCCTGACTGAACCCTTGTATAAATTATTTCTGCACCCATTAAAGGTTTTTGCCTTTAATGGACAGACTCTCACACTATTCCACTAGTGTTCAGCACATCAATTGGGCATCATTTTTCAAATATGTCGCCCAGAAATAACCTCTGAATTAATTTAACATCTATTTTAGTATTTTGTAAGTATATTTCTATATTTGTTTTTTTTTTATTGACAGCAGCATGTAAAAGATTTGTTTCCAGCCGTTGTGACGTCATAAGGCTGCGCCGCGGTCCTGCGTCTGTTGTGATTCGGCTGAAGAAAGGTTTGTGGTTTTAAAGCATTTACGGTGTTTAAATCAATACAAACCGTTCAATCAACTAATAAAAAATCAATACAAAATATGTATTATGGAACTTAAGACTGTAATGCTTTATATAACATTTGTGAACAGTGTTTTTATTTTTAAAGCGCATCTGCACATAGAAAAGGGTGCGTCTCAGTTCGCTCCCTGTATCAGTAATCGCTTTACCTTAAACATGAATTCGGGCACTGGCAATTAGAGATGAGAGAGACGTTTAACGTCGTTAGGGTTTAACTGGTGTCCGTGTTCAGTTGTAACTTTTATTGCAGATGTGCGATCGGCCGCATTCATTCATGACATATTTGTGCAACATGTCCATTATAATTAGACTTTCTCACTAGGCTATATGATGTTGGTATTATTTTAGAGGTTTCTGATCTGCACTGTAAACCAAACATAGTATTGCGAGAAAGTTTAATTGTGATTTCATTAAGTGCAACGGAAGTAGTCTCATCCAGCAGCTGCAGAACATTGTGAGTCGGTTCAAAAGAGCCGGTTCCTCGACTCATAATAGTCTTTTTTTATGCTATTGTAAGGTGTTGACTCAAGCGCAGGAATCGATTCTCGTTCTGAAATGCTTTTTCTTTTTTTTTCTTTTTTTTTAAATTACATAGCATTAAATCAATATGTACAAACATAGAAAGAAATTAAATGATAACATGCACATACACAAATAAGTTGCCATATAAACAAGAATGCAGTGCATTCAGGACAAAAAGGATGAATATAGAGATACAGTTTTAATTGCTTTGGGATTAACAGAGCTTTGGATAGTTTCCATGCATGTCTAGATCATCTTTGAATATAGAAAAGAGAGGTTTAAAGCCAGTCATTTTTTGCTTATGTATATGAAATTTATTTAGCTAGAATGAAACACAAATTATTTATGTAATATTGTACTGTTTTCTCTTTTGAGTAGTCAAACAAGCCAAAGAAAACATCTTTAAAACAGAAAGAGAAGTCACTTACAAAATAGGATTGGATAAAATGAACAAATCTGACCAAAATTTCTCTGTGTACATTGCCAAAACTAATGAATGGCGTCTTCCTCGGAAGAGAGACAGAAACAGCAGTTCACTTCAATGTCAGACTAATATCTCTTAAGAAAGGTTTTGGTTGGGTAACATTTGTGAAATAATTTAAATGTTATTTCTTTAACTTTATTGGTAAGCAGATATTTATGAGACAAAGACCATATTTTTTCCACAGTAAATTCCCATCAATATTATTCCAGTATGGTATTACATAAGGAATTATTATCTCCTTCTGGAAGAGAGCTCTAAGTTTATAATTATTATTATTATTTTTTTTGTTGCTCTACAGAAAAGCACACATTTCTGATCATTGTGTCAGTTGGGCTCAAAGAGTAAGTAAATGGCCATGGAAATGAAGAACCTTGCAACAGAAAAGACACTCCAGAGGGAATTGCATTGAAAACAGTAGTATATTTATTAGTAGGGCTGGGTATTGAGACAAATTTCACAATTCGATTTCGATTCAATATCGATTATTTTGGATATCAGTTACAATAAATGGCCATTTTTCTCAAGGGAATCAAATCTCTTAAATGCTGTAAACTATGGGAGTATAGTTGTAGCCAATAGGCTTCATTAGCCTAATATGAAGGTAATAATGAACTGTTTTGTAGCTACACAAACACTTAAATTACACTTTTATTTATTTTTATAATAAGAAGATTATATGAAATATAAACATTTAAATGGTGTTAAGATGTATTCAAATATGCATTAGATATTGAAGAACATTATAATATGTAATATGGTGTATATATTTAGCAAAATGCCCCTTTTTGAAGTTATTTTTTTCTAGCTGACTAACGAGTTTTTATGGGTTTTCTGAGGTAAATATGACGATACATTGATTACAAGCTGTTTAACTGACGTTGTTTAACTGACGTCTTTCCACGGTTGAGCGAATCAATGTGACATGATACGGATTTAGATAAGTTGTACTCTATCTTTTAACACACTTTCAGATGCTCATTCATGTTTATTTCGCGCTGTGACTGGTATTTTAAGTTGGAAGAGAGATCAGCGCTGCTGCTTCTCTTGAGCTGCGCCAGAGCGATCTCACGCCACAGCGCCAAAACGCTATTAATATTTCTGAATTTCTAAAGAAAATGGACGTAATTTGAAAATTGAGACTTTGTTTCATATCAATAGTAACAAAGGACAAAGATTATTGCGATTTTTTTGGATGCGCGCAGCCGCAATACAATGTCCCATTAATTCAAAAGAAACAGGATGACTAATCGTTTCTTGAGATTTAAGAATCGATGTCGGTTCATAAAAATGAGAATCGATTAATATCGAGAAATCGATATTTATTACCCAGCCCTATTCATTAGTAGTTATAGGGATTTTATATTTCTGAAAAAAATCGAAATAGTTGTAAAGTCTGCCCTGTTAATTAAAAAGCTGTCCAACTAGCAAAAGGTCGTGTTTTTTTTTTTTTCAAACAAAAAAAGTGATTTATTCTTGTAGAGAATATCCTTATTGTTCCATAAGTAATATCTGTGTGGGGAAAAGTTATGATTGTATATTAGGGACCATGCCAAGAGCATCTGCTTATGAAACTTAAAGAGTTTGACGGGGATCTTTGTAGCATTATAGTTGCAAAGTAAGAGAAAATTCAGGCCACCAACTTTTGAAAAAATATAATTGGGGATAATATTCCAAAGTGAAGAGGGATTATTAAGGAAATTTTTAAACCAATTAATTGAGTTTCCTTTGGGTTTTCAGTATTAAAAGATCAAAATTTAGTTTACACCTTGTTTTTTGGTCTTTATTAATTAGAATTCCTAAGTATGTAACTTGATCTTTCACAGGGATATTGCATATAGAGGGAACATTACAGCTTTTTATTGACATTAACTCACATTTGTTAATATTTATAGACCCGAAGCTCTGGAAAAGGAATCAATCAATCTCAAAGCTAAAGAAGCTTGAGAGGCATCATTCAAAAATAAAGTGGTGTCATGCGCCAGAGAGAAATGCACATTTCATTTCATAAGAAGAGAGCAATCTGTTTGGTTTAGTTTCGTTTTGAATTGTTCTGTTTACAAGTTGACATTTCAATATAGATATGCGTTTCAGGTCTGTGGAGTAGGCTATACTTACTATACGCTGAGTTTATGTTTATGAGACATGCTCCAGTTCACGCGCCGGTGCCTGCGTGTCATGATTATCTATAATTGTTTGCGTTAACTTCTTATGTATTAAATCCAGGCAATTGGTTGATAAAACATTGATTAAAATCAAGATAAAATACAAAGTCTGTAACATTGTTTTTTCCTCATAAATGCGAACACGAAAAATAAAATAACATGAATATTTTATGTTCTGTGGAGAGAACCCTTCCTCATTCGATTTGCGCAGTGTAATTAACAGAGTTACAAAAATATATATTTTGCCTCCTAAAAGATTTTTGTCACGCATGACTGCATGTCTATTTCCTTAATATTAAATATAAAAACGCATGTGTAGATTGATATTTTTCTAATGTCTGGACTCCTTTAAGGGAGTAGTATGGATAAACAGATGTTTCAATATATTGGTATTAATGCTTTTTCTGAGAATTTATATTTCAAGTTTTGACTGCAAATGTCACGTCCATAACGCTGGAATTCCCCAATTTTAAAAAATGTATCCTCAACTAGTTTTGTGATGTGTCTACGTATTTTATAATGTTAACCTCAAATAATTCTAATAGTAATTTAAAGAGATACTCCACTTAAAAAAATAAAAATAATAATAGGTTCATTTTACAACTCCCCAAGAGTTGAACAGTTGATTTTTACCGTTTTCGAATCCTTTCAGCCGATTTTCTGATATTAAGAAGAATATCAGTAACCACAGAGTTTCTGGTCTCATTGACTTCCGTAGTAGGAAAAAAAAAAAATACTATGGAATTCAGTGAGACCAGAAACTGTCTGGTTACTGATATTCTTCTAAATATAAAAAAAATTGGCTGAATATATTCGAAAACGGTAAAACTCAACTGTTTAACTCTGAGGGAGTGGTAAAATGAGCCTATTTCCAAAAAAAGTGGAGTATCCCTTTAAAGATGTGGTAGCATTGGATCTGGACGGTAAGGAGGATAACGCTGGGAGTTGGAAGGGGTGTCTCGCGATTCTGCAGGTTCATCTGAGTGTCACCAATCGCGATTTTGTTTATATCGCATAGGAGTAATGTAACACATTACAATTCTGAGACAGTAATTGTAAAGTAATGAATTTTGCCATTTTATGTTGCATATGGACCCGGGACTGTATTAACCCCAGTGACGGGTAGGTTTAGGGACGGGGTTGGGGTAGGTGATATATTTATACAGAAATGTAACGTCAAGTCAACGGCGTTCATAAACACGCTGAAAAGCGATTATGCGTGTTGATAGCGCTGCAAAAATGGAAATACGAATGACATCAGCCTTCAATTTTCATCTGCATATTGAATATACATTCATTTTCATATTGTGACCGTTTTCATCTGCAGTCGAAGTTACAACTTCACATGAACACCAGTTAAACCATCATGCCAGAGTTTTTTTTCAATTGAATGAATAACTTTGCAAAATAAATCAAAATGAATGTTTCAATGTGTTTTGCGAAACGCAACACACTGGATGACATCTGCTACTTTTTACTTTTACAATGTGTGATTACAGTGAAATTGCAAATGTTTGCATGAAAGTGTAATCTTATAAATGTGTCTACAAATCATTAAATACCAATTTAAATAAAAATGAATTGTGTGTATAATAAATTTGTCGTCTTTTATTAATTTGAAGTGCTAGTTTTCAGAGGGTTTTTTTTGAGAGGGCTTGGATAATCAGACCATTTAAGACTCTCAGACTCTCTCTCTTGCCAGTGCCCTGACTACTGAACTAGGGAGCTGATTGAGATGCACCAATATAATTAGTTTGGATTTATTTTCTTTTTGTTAATTATTCTCATTTTAAACATGACAGTGTCCACACATAGAAAAACTCCTGGTGAAGCAACTGAGATCCATGTGACACTTATTATAAAGATGGCGTTTATTAAAGAGGAAAGTGAAGACATGAAGATTGAAGAAACACTCAGAGTGAAAGAGGAAGATACTGAGGAACATACAGGTTGGTTTTATTCTCAAACCTGAACTCTGTCATTTAAACCGTATTAAAATGTTGACCTCAAAAGCGCTTGCTCCATCAAATCAGTGCCATGTAAACATTATTTCCTGGGAGGAATCCAGAAAGCAGGGCTATTTTTTTACCTGAACAATGTCAAATGAGTGGCCCAATCAAAGTGGTTTTATTTGTCAAGGAGTGGGTCGCCTCATGTGGACATGTTGAGATCACATGACCAGACAAACTTTTCGGAAAGAAATGTAATGAATGCTGTATTCACCATTTGTGCAATGGGCATTGAGGCTACCATAACAATATTTATAACCTCATAAAACATAAAGAGGGTCAAAAACACTTAGTTTAAAAACAAAATATTATCAAACTAACATTAACATCTGAGGGTTGTCTCTCCCACCACATATACAGATAGATGGAAGCATATCTCCATCGATTATGCAGCTGAGACTCAGAGGCACGTCATGACCTTCCAAGTCACAGATTTGGGTTGCTGGGCGCCAGCATGTCCAGAACAACAACTCAGTCAGTCTCCAATAATGCCAGTTGTTCCTTAACCTGCAACCAAGAAGACTAGCACACACACCGACACACTGCTTTTCCAAGGTTGGATTTGGCCACAGTCTTAAAAGTGATGGGTTAAAAAATAACCCAACCGCTGGATCAATATTGCACCAGACCAGCAGTAGTTAATTTGACCCAGCAAGATGAGTTAAATATTCTACCCAAATGCTGGGTCATATGAATTACAATTATGGGTTGATTTAACTACATATTAGTTATATAGTTTACCCAAATGCTGGGTCAAATTAATTACAATTCTAGGTTGGTTCAACTACATATTATGCTGTGTAAAATTAACCCATATGCCAGATAAAGTGTAACACATTACAGTACAATTTAGAAAATAAATTGCAATTGACTACCCATTTAAAATTCTTAAAATACATGTAGGACATGAAAGCCCTGTGCTATCTATAAAATGAAAATCAAATTTTTTAATTCCAATTCAATGTGGCACACTTATAAAATGTTATAAACAATGTATCCTCATATGCAAGATCATTTCCCCCCCCCTATACCTACCATGCCTTTGGCCATTAGGCGAGGGAACTTTTCAAGGATTTGATCAATAGTCCAACTGTTGTCTCTGATCCACTTTGCCATGTAGACTGCCGTGTTTTCTGTCTGGGGGGCTGAGAATTGTTTCTCAACCATTCTTTAAATTGTGACGCACGTTTGCTGATATGGTACATTCTGTAATTACAATTCTAGGTTGATTCAACTACATATTATGCTGTGTAAATTTAACCCATATGCCAGATGAAGTCTAACACATTACAGTACAATTTAGAAAATAAATTGCAACTGACTACCCATTTAAAACTCTTAAACTACAAACCTAGAAAAGAATACAAGCGAATACAAATTCCTAAAAGCTGCTATTAAGCTACTGGCAAGCAAATATTCTTGTTTAAAAAAAACGTAACTAATTTTGACTCCCCTCCTAGAATTCCATTGATGACATTTTGCACGAATTTCCACACATGCTCACATTAGCCGCATTTCCACTGCCGGGCTAGGGCTGGGCCAGAGCGAACAGCGAGCCGAGTCGAGCCAGTAGCCCCACAACGCTGCCCTAAACCCCGCCCCTAACACGCCTTTCTGGATCAAACGTCATACATCCCAGCCCATTTCAGTGGGTATAATGAATTCATATATTTTTTAAGTTAGGAAGATACCATGTATATTAACTCACCGGCCGTGGCTGCTATAGTGTCCCGATTGTCTCGCGAGTCGCCACTAACAGAGGGACGGTGACCCTGCACACCGTCCATCTAGTCGAACCATGGAAAAATCCTTCTCTGAACTCCGCTTTGTCCATTGTGCATTTTAATCGCCTTGTACAATACTGCGCCCGCAACTTTTTTATTTTTTCCTGAACTTGAAGCGTTACTCGCTGAATGTTTAGCTTAGAAAGTTCAGCATCGATGTATTTTGTAACATCCTCATTTCTTCACATGCCGCGACATCGTACAAATTGACGTCGTACACTTTCTTCTGCCCAAATGCTCAGAAGAGCTGTGGTATCCTCGACAGACCAGTACAGGCGATTCTCCATTTCAAGCAGCGATTTTTTTGCGGGCTATTGCTTCAGATCATAACGTTCCATAACACAGATAAACTCCACCTTTTACCTTGAGCACGCCTCTAGTCCGAGGTGGCCCGCTCTGGCCCAAGGTATTCGAAGGCCTAGAAATCCTGGCCGTTGGCCCCGAGTAAGCCCCGATCAAGCCCCGGAAGTGACAGTGGAAACGCGACTAGCCCTGGCACGCAGTAGCACGGCTCGGCACTGGCCCGGCAGTGGAAACGTGGCTACTGTTTTGGGTATTCGACATCAAAGACAAAAAATGCCTTAAAACAGACATCAATGGCCTGAAGCAGTGTTTCTTGCTTCAGGGCCTGTCCAGATATTATTACGAATGCCTGAGATGCACTCCGGTCATTAACCAGCGTCAGGACGTGGGGGTATGTCTTAGACACCTTGGCCTCATGGAGGTACTCGGCCATGTTTATTCCAGGCTAAAAAAGAAAATACAAGAGAGTGAGATATACAAGTGTGCGAGTAAGGACCAAATGTCTACCGACTACTATAGTAAAAAAATATAACTGTAATGGTCTACATTTCATTGCATCACAAAATATTCCAAACCTTTATTGATCAAGTGTTAGAGCATATAGCTCACATTACAGAAAATAAATAAAGGATTCAGACCTCAAATTACTTAAAAAGCCATAAATTGATTGATTATCTATCATTAAAGTAAACATTCACATTCTCAGAAAATGCGTGCGGCTCAACTTTTGTGTCAACTTTCAGCCGACGGTCAGTCGTCGGGCAGTTTTTGTGCGTCGGCCGACTAAGTTTCCTCGGTGTGTTCCGCATGGTTCCGTGCCGTCGGCTGAAAATAGTCCTCGTCGGCTTTGTTTCGCCCGATTCGACATTGATTCAGCGTCGGGCCGTCGGGGAAAGAGAGAACTCTGATTGGCTGTTCAGCTTAGTGAAAGAGTCAGTGCACGAGAATAAAAGTAAAAGAGCAAGCAAAGAAGTCTAAACGGTAAAGTAGAAGGCTGTTCTTATGTTACGTCTTCTCACCTGAGTGTTTCTTGGCGAATATTTCAATATTAACATGAGTGGATTGACATTCAAAACGGTAAGCACGTGCTGCTTTGTTTACGGTATTTGTATCTGCAGCCGGCAGCGTCGGTTTTCCTTTTTGAATGATGAATATAGACTAATATAACTGCAGAAATAGACAGTTGGCTCATTACACGCAGGCGTAGAATGCACATTCAAGCTGACAGTCGCCTGTAGTTCACTCTGTGTGTTCGAGTGCAGCTTTTTACCCCGACAAGAGCCGACAACAGTCGGCTTTCATCAGTGCTAGTTCGTCGGCGTCGGCTTGGTGTGTTCTGGGCTTTAGTTCAGAAAGTTCTAAGCTTGTAGAACAGCTATTTTCCGAATACTGTCTGGCTATTTGATGCCTGTCCCCAAAAGTATAATAAAACCTGAATATGCATGCGTGCGTGCAGTCTATAGCTGAAATATGTTGATAAAATGAATAAAGTTTCCTCTTCAGAAATTTGTGCTTCGAGGACTCACAGCCTTATGATCGATGAAGGCCAAGCTGCATTCACAATATGTGTGGTGTACCACTTTCGCACCGCGGCTACGGCCAACTTTGTACATTGTAGGGGGGAGTAATCCTGGCAGCTGCCTCAGGGCGAGTTCCCCAAACGCCATCTGTAGGAAGACATAGGTGTCAATACGATGTGAAATAGCATACCTTTGATTTCACAATACCAGCAATTTCATCGCAGAAAAATCGCATAGCATTCCCTGCATTTATTATATTATCTATATTATATTATATTGACAATATATTACCTGCTGTTATACCATCCAGGGGCAATGTTAGCTTCCCCTCCTGTCTTGCCAGGTACAGGACCTTCTCTGCATAAATGGGCAGCCAAGTTTCAAAAAGCTTTGATGCAGCTTCCCCATGTAGGACAAGAAAGTCATGTGCTATCTATAAAATGGAAAACACATTTTTTAATTCCAATTCAATGTGGCACACTTATAAAACGTTATAAACAATGTATCCTCATATGCAAGATCATTTTCCCCTACACCTACCATGCCTTTAGTCATTAGGCGAGGGAACTCTTCAAGGATTTGATCAATAGTCCAACTGTTGTCTCTGATCCACTTTGCTCTGTAGACTGCCTTGCCATGGAGAAAACCTTGATCTGGTCCCAGACAGAGTCAACAATCACCTGGTGTCCTGGGGAGTCGGGGAAGGAATGCAAGAGCGGCTCACAGCAGTGCTCTTCTGGGGGAGTTGTTGTTCCAACAGTGGCCAAGTGCTGGTTGAGGGTGGCCGAAAACAGATAAGATTGGGATTGTTTGGTCTTGGGGGCGAAAAGCCGCATTCAATTTACACGGCTAATTCTCATGGTCTCTGAAACGATCCATATCTTTATGCAAAAGCGGAACATGATTCTTTTTTATTATTATTTATAAACAAACGAGGGCCTATATTTAAAGAAAAAATAGCTCGCAGCTGCAGTCCAGACTCATCGTGGAAAAACACGCTGTGTTGTTGTATTTTCAGTGCATTTTTAATTGATAAAAAGTTAAACAAATTAAATAATACATTTTAGTATAAATAAATCTGAACAAAAATATAAAGATTTAATCAAAACAAAAATTTAAGATAAGAAAACCAAATTTCTCCAAGCAAATAGATATAGATTTAATTATAAAATTATTTCTCATTTTTAAAAATACAAGTTAATAGAAATTATTTATGTTAAACAAAAAGATATGGATTCAATAAAACATGTTTCACATTACGGAAGATAACTTAATATTTAATCTTGATCACATGTGACATAATTTTCATTACATCAATATTTATTAACTTATTATACATTACTTCCATACATCCAATTTCAGTACTCAAGTGTCAGATTTTCAAATTTTAAGAGCTGGCAAACATTGACCTTAGAAAACAACAGCCTTAACCGAGAACAATGCAGTGAATTAATGAAATGCGACAATTTCTCAGTTCCATCACTACCAGAAATGCAGCTGTATAAGTATATCACTATCTCTATCCTCATCATATTTTATGATGCTACAAATGCTATCCAACTGTAAAAAAAAAAAAAAACATTGTTGAAAAGTCAGAAATTGGAATGGAAGTAATTGTTGCTATACACCGTCACATTTCGTCTCATTGGTGTAAACTGGCAGCTTTCAGAACGCTACAGAACGTAGCATTGTGTAGAACGCTGAGCCAAAGCCATCATTTATGGGGGTAAACTGGGATGTGGGGGAACCCTGAATTAAGCTCTATGTTAAAGCTGGTCATAGAGCCTCATGACTTTGTTGGTCATGCCTTTTTGGTCCAGCTCCATGATGACTTTCTGAATATGTTCAAATGTCATTTTCAATGTCTTGGGATATTCCAGATTGAAGGCAAAGGCCTAGGAGAATGGCAACAGCATTTGTGACCTTTAGGCATTTGAGTCCTTTAGGAAGGAGACAAATCTTACGTGAACTATCGAGAACTATCGAGATCATCGAGATAGCGCAGCACTTCTGTGTTGTACATCACACATAGGCTCACTATTGGCCAGCGCTGGTCATGTGTGTGATGCGTGTGATGTACAACCTAAAATCGCTGCGCAGTTACACAACGTGAACCATCTCGAGGCCCACAGAGAAGTAAATGAATAGTTGAATAAAGTCGTTATTTTTGTTTGTTTTTTGCGCACAAAAAGTATTCTCGTCGCTTGATAAACTTAAGATTGAGCCACTGTCGTCACTTGGACTATTTAACGATGTCTTTAACTTGTCTGGGCCAGAGAGTTTCAATCCATTAGAAGCTTATGGAGGAGTGATCCAGCTCTCAGATTTAATGATGATGATGATGAACGAAAGGCCGAAGTCAACACATATCTTGGTTTACTGTCTTTGTACATCTGGTTCTTGATTGCGTTGGAGAATCTTCTCTCTCAATCAGAGGGCCAGTCCCTGACATGGAAGACATGGCAATTTGTTGTGACCGTTGATGAGGTTCTGAGATTAAAAGAAACGCATCTTTCAGTAGCTTTTTCTATAGGTTTTGATGTTTTAATGCCGTTTGTGCTGGTTTTGATGTCTGCTTTGTGCCAAGAACTAGTGTTAACTTGTATTTGTCTTTTTGCTTTAGCCCTGGTGGTACTGAAAGAAGAAAGTCAAGAACTGATAGAAGAAAAAGATCAGTATGAGAAACATTACGATTTCATGACTGGAGAAAAGTCCACACAGACTGAAAAGACTTCCTCACGAAAAAGAGCTCAAAAGACAGACACTAATAGTTGTTTTACCTGCCGTCAGTGTGGAAAGACTTTCAATCAAAAACAAAACCTTGAAGTCCACTTAAGAGTTCACACAGGAGAGAAACCTTTCAGCTGCCAACAGTGTGGAAAACGCTTCACTCAAAAAGGAAACCTTAAAAGCCACTTAAGAATTCACACTGGAGAGAAGCCTTACACCTGCCAACAGTGTGGAAAGAGTTTCACGGCAGAACCAAACCTTAAATATCACATGAACATTCACAATGGTGTGAAGCCGTTCACATGTGATCAGTGTGGAAAGAGTTTTACACGTAAAGTAACCCTTAATTACCACATGAGGATTCACTCAAGAGAGAACATATTAATATGTCATCATTGTGGAAAGACTTTCAGTCATAAAGTAAGCCTTAAGACTCACATGAGACTTCACACTGGAGAGAAGCCTTACACATGCCAACAGTGTGGAATGAGTTTTACATATAAAGCGTCACTTGATTCCCACATGGGAAGTCACACTGGACAGAGCGCTTTTCCCTGCAAAGTGTGTGGGAAGAGCTTCTCACTAAAAGGAAATCTTAAGACTCACACGAGGACTCACACTGGAGAGAAGCCGTTCATATGTGTTCAGTGTGGAAAATCTTTCACACGTAAAGGAAACCTTATTTGCCACATGAAGATTCACTCAAGAGAAGACTGTTATATATGTCATCAGTGTGGAAAGAGTTTCCCAGACATGAAATGCCTTAACAGGCATGTGGTAATTCACTCTGGAGAGAAGCCTTTCAAATGCCAAGAGTGTGGAAGGGCTTTCAAGTTCAATAAAAATCTTAAGGCTCATATGAGAATTCACAGCAGAGAGAAGCCTTTCAAATGCCCTTCCTGTGAAAAGAGTTTCAGTCATAAAGTAAGCCTTAAGACTCACATGAGACTTCACACTGGAGAGAAGCCTTACACATGCCCTCAGTGTGGAAAGAGTTTCACATATACAGCAACACTTAATGCCCATGTGAGAATTCACACTGGAGAGAGGCCGTTCACATGTGGTCAGTGTGGAAAGAGTTTCACACGTAAAGGAAACCTTAATTACCATGTGAGGATTCACTCAAGAGAAAACTGTTTAATATGTCAGCAGTGTGGAATGAATTTTACTGATAGGAATCACCTTAAGAGTCATGTAATAATTCACACTGGGGAAAAGCCTTTTATGTGCCATCACTGTGGAAAGAATTGCACAAACAAAGCAAATCTTGAGGTTCATGTAAGAGTCCACACTGGAGAGAAGCCTTTCACCTGTCCTCAGTGTGGGAAGAGTTTCACACTTAAAGGAAACCTTAAGACTCACATAAGAGTTCACACTGGAGAGAAGCCTTTCACGTGTCTTGAGTGTGAAAAGAGTTTCACATATCAAAAAGACCTGAAACGTCATTTGCAAACTCATTCCGGAAAGAAATTGCAGTGTTCAGAGTGTGGTAAGACATTTGGAAAAAGTAGCAATTTCAAAAATCACCTGCTCATTCACTCTGGTGGAAGGCGATTTCATTGTGAACAGTGTTATAAAAGGTTTCTTTTGCCATCACACTTACAGATACACCTGAAAAGTCATGCGAATGTGAGACCCTATTTGTGTTCCTTGTGTGGAAAGAGTTTTAAATGGCTCAGCAATTTAAAATGGCACCAGAGAATACGTGTCTGTGAAATCAAGTCAATGTTCACCCTGCAGCAGAATGTGGAAATCTCTGGGGCAAAACCATTTTCATGTTCATCTGCATCCTTCACCTCTTGAGGCTTTTTCTTTTCTTTTGCCATGTACATATTTTGCAGCCACACCTCACCATCTCTTTTGCTATAGTTTAAAATATTGAGTGGTTCCGTTAGACACCCTCTAATGGAGACATCGCTCCATTCCATATATTAATATCTCAGAATCAAAATATTAAACTTCTTTCTAGCTGTGAATTGCCACAATATAAAAGAAAGACTGTAAACGAAAGAACATAAACTGAATGAAAATAATGAACATTGAACTGCATTGTTTGATTTAGGTTTAGTGAGAGAATGCACAGGTAGACGTGTTGTCATCCTGGAATTTAACATGGATATTGTTGGGGCTCATTTGGTGACACTGCTGATTCCAGCTGTGGGTAAACATTCTCTCACTGCCGATCTTAGGTTTTCCTTATGCTGGGTACCAGGGCCTGAAATTAACTTTTTCGGCCACCGGCCACTGTGGCAGGTGGATTTAAAAATTCAACTGCCACAGAGACTTTTTACCAGCCACTTTTTTTTTTTGCCTCATATTTTGCCTCAGCCAAAAAATGGTAAAAAAGAACAATATTGTGAAATTTCTGGTTTTTTTGGGTTTTTTTTTTTTTCACGTTTATATAAAGGTGAAAAAAAAAACGGGAATTTCACAACATTGTTCTTTCACTTGTAAGAATACACATTTAAGTGCGGTCAAGTAATAATAATATCTCTAAGAACATACATTTTTTAAAATCTTTTTATTCATTGATTTTGTCACTCACACAACATATACAGTATATAGTATAGGCTATATAGTATATACTCAACAGATAGACCTACCGCAGCTCGTATGTAAACAAATCACACGCGGCTGGGTTGATGGCTGATTTAGTCACGTAGACAGATCCTGACAGCTTTTAGTTATAGCGTTCAGGAACCGTTAACTATGAACTAAATTAATATTGTTATTATTGGTAAAGGTACCGGATATTTTCTCACTGGTTCCCAACTCCCAACATGCACAGTTGCACATGCACACACATCTGTGCAACTGTCATTGTACTGTAGGCTACGTCAGCGTTACATTATCTCATCCCATCTCACCAACAGTTTAATACTCGCACATCCAAACGTAGTCGGAAAAGGGCCTCGATCGTCTTCTTCTGATCGCATGAACGTTCCGAAACAACAGTCGCGGTCATAAATCAGCCGCTCACGAACCTTGCCATTGCCGCCAATTATCCACTTTGTATTGAAATGTCTTCTTTTACTTTTCTTTTTCTCATCCTCATCTTTTTGTTGGTTGTTTGTTTCAGCTGGCTTCTTTACCTCAGTAATGTGCCGCCACATTTTAGCTAAAGTCAAACGCAATGGCGGACTTAGTTGAAATGTAAAAATCCTAATGAATCACTCAATTCTCATTGGCTACCTGCCAATGTGGCAGGTAGATTGACAGTGTTACCCGCCAATAGGAAAATTCACCCGCATTTGGCAGGTGGTCGGGTGTTAATTTCAGGCCCTGCTGGGTACACACCAAAAGATAATCGGGCTGATTTTGGGGCGATTTCTCCCCTTCGGACAATCCTAGCTATGTCCCAATTATCTTGATGGTTCAACTGATTATCTTATCAGATTCACCCTTGGTGTGAGGTGTGTTAAGAGTGTCCGAACCTGCTCGGAAGAACGTCGGAGCCGTCCCGTAAATATTCGGAATCCTAAATATTCATCATGCTGAATATTTACGATCAGAAATCCTGATGTGTGGAGATTATCACATGAAATGAAACAATATCCAATCAGAAAGCGAGATGTTGGAAGACGGAAGCATAACAAACGCAGTCATGGCGCAGTACAAAGTGAAACTGATGTGGTCAGCAGAGATGGAGGATCAGCTTGTTGATTTGTGGCTCAGAAAATGTAATTAGCTCAGTACAAAAACCATTGCATTTAATGATAGGTGTGTGTGTGTGTGAGAAAGAAAGAAAGAAAGAAAATGAACCATGGATTAATTATAGGCGTATTGAACAGTTGTATAACCAAATAAATACTACTAGTTTGATGATTTTTTTTTAGCAAAACTATGGTTAATTTGTGGTCATTCCAAACACTATTCTGAAGTCTCGTGAGATTTTGTGAGATTTCCTATGTTCACAGTCTAGACTCTGGTTGAAAATCTGTTTGTGTGTGGTGTGCTGTCTTTGTCACATCATGGCACACCACACACTATAGGAGCAAAACAGTTAAATCTAGAGATGTTCCGATACCCTTTTTCTCTTCCCGATACCGATCCGATACCTGGGTGTGTATAGTATCTATTCAGCTGCAATTCATTCTAGCACTGTATGAATTGATATAATTATTATGGTGTACATCAAACTTATCCCCAAATTAAACATGAACAAATACATAGAGCGAACTAGAGTATTTTTATTATCTGAATTACATTTCATAGCAATATTTATCTTATGTGAAAAAGAACTTAAAATGCAACTACACATCTAATACTGTAAACTAAAAAGGTATTTTATATTTACAAAATAGCTATATATAAAAAAGTGCAACAAATAAATCTAGGAATCTAAAAAGATTATATGAATAATATAAGAAAATAATCTCTTTATAACTGAATATCAATAAACAAATTTGTTAAATAAACAACATTTCAGTTTTGACTGTGGCTGGTCATCCAGAATAATAAACTCAATAACTTTCATATTGTTGGTTATATTTATTGTTCATTTGCTGTATTTTGAAAACATTTCTCTTCGTTTGAGGCCCTGTTTACACGAGAACGCTGGCGGGTGAAAACGTAAAAATATTTTATCGGATGTGCCTTTCGTTTACACGGCGACCGCGTTTTTGGGACTTAAAAACGCAAAAAAGTGAAACCACCCTCCAGAGTAGAAATCTTTAAAACGCTCCACTGCTGCATTACCGTGTAAATGGTAAAAACGCAAAGGTCAGCTTGACAGTGAAGGTTGTACGCAGGCACGCGGGCTTAGTGTTGTTGTAGTATGCACTCTTAGCCGCCTGGAGTGCATACTACATTGAATTTCACAGACTTTTGCGTCACCATCTGCACGCGGATTTCACATCCAAAACGCTCGTCTAAACGCAGCAAAAAGTGATAGCGCAACGCCACTTTTGCTTTTTCTCTACAGAATCGTTTCCGTGCAAACATAGCCTTAATGAAGCTTTCAGAGATTGTTGATTCTGACGCGGCTCATCCTCTGTCTGCCATCGTGTTCTGCGGGTTGACGGGTCTTCAAATGCTTAAGTTACTCGTGTTGAAGTTGCTAATACTTGTTCTACCCCTCGAAATTGCAGTATGGCATGAGACATGTCGCCGTTTTACTGGCTGGTTGGTCCAGTCTGAAATACAGCCAAACTGCGGACATTATGCCAGGGCGCACACACGCGCGTTTTCTTCTTCGCTGCTCTAAACAGTGGTTGCTTGTGGCAACAGCACGACTTCCTGTGTTTCCACTAGCAAACCACTGTTTAGAGCAGCAAAAAAAAGAGTTGATCTCCGTTTTGCAGCGGTAAGCAAAGCTAGCGTGTATAACTAGACATTGTTTAATAAAATGGTATCGGATCGGTACGCGGATAGAAGTACTCGCCGATACCGATTCCAGAATTTTTATTGGTATCGGCGGCATTTCTTATACTAGTATCGGAATCGGAACAACTCTAGTTAAAGGGTTAGTTCACCCAAAAATGAAAATTAAGTCATTAATTACTCACCCCCATGCTGTACCAACCCCGTAAGACCTTCGTTCATCTTCGGAACACAAATAAAGATATTTTTGATTGAATCTGAGAGCTGGATCACTCTTCCATTGGCTTCCTAAGGGACTGGCTCTTGACGGCCCATAACGTCATTAAAGAAAAGGTTTAAATATTCCATGTGCCTACAGCGGCTCAATTATAAGTTTATCAAGCGACGAGACTACTTTTTGTGCGAAAAAAACATAAATAACGACTTTATTCGACTATTCTATTACTTCCTTATGGGCGCATGCGCGAGAACTGAGACGAGGACGTTCTCCTTCGACTACTTCTTGTTACCGGCTGCTCCGCTTAGGAGTATTACCGCCACCTACCGTATAAAATGATGATCCATATATAAGGCGCTCCGGATTATAAGGAACACTGTCGTTTTTTGAGAAGATTAAAGGCTTTTAAGTGCACCTTGTAGTGCGGAAAATACGCTAATTGAAAAGCGTATGTACAGCGCGCATCTTCTTCTGCTTGTAAACAGAAAGTTTTGCGCTTCCAGCTATATCAGCACATCATCTTATACGGTAGGGGGCGGTAATACTCCTAAGCAGCGAGCAGCCGGTAACAAAAAGTAGTAGAAGGAGAACGTCCTCGTCTCAGTTCTCGCGCATGCGCCCATAAGGAAGTAATAGAATAGTCGAATAAAGTCGTTATTTATGTTTTTTTCGCACAAAAAGTAGTCTCGTCGCTTGATAAACTTATAATTGAGCCGCTGTAGGCACATGGAATATTTAAACCTTTTCTTTAATGACGTTATGGGCCGTCAAGAGCCAGTCCCTTAGGAAGCCAATGGAAGAGTGATCCAGCTCTCAGATTCAATCAAAAATATCTTTATTTGTGTTCCGAAGATGAACGAAGGTCTTACGGGGTTGGAACAGCATGGGGGTGAGTAATTAATGACTTAATTTTCATTTTTGGGTGAACTAACCCTTTAAATCTAGGATTATTTCTCCTCATGTGTGTGGTCTATCACATTTTGAAAATCTTATAAGATGTAAAAAATCCTTTGGTGTGTACCCAGCATTAGCTTACTAATTAGTCAAAGTTTATTTAATTTACATAATACACAAAGTATGCATCATATTATATGCAAGTACTTAGCGTATCTGTACAGCCAAACTCAGCTTTTTAAAGTCTACTCCATTTGATAGCATGCACGAACACAGGCTGACTGCAGCACACATGCACACTAAAAATGTTATCCTTTTCCACTGTCTGCACTGTTTCTTGTTTGAACTTAAAAGTGATAAAATGTGTTTGTAATTGCTTAAACTAGTGCTCATCAACGTAGGCATCTATTGCATCTCCAGGAGTCTGTTGTTGTTCCATCAAAAAAAAGTCTAATGTAAAATGGCCACTGTTGATCAACTACACTGTAAAATCATAAAAGAATGGTCGAACTGCTGAACAACAACTGTAAAATTAAAGTAAAATATCCAAAATAAATTTTCATTAAACTGTTTAAAGAAAAACTATTTTACAAGTATTTCCTGAATTATTATGATCAAACACTTTCACTGTAAATGGCAATATCTTAGTAAACTTTTAGCTAGCAGTAGCACACATGCATGCAAATGTATATAGACATCACTGTGTTAGTGTCTACACGGTTACTGCATTTAAATAAAGCAACATACAGCATATTGTCAATGTTTCCTGT